CAGGAATGAGTGCAGTGAATGTTCTCTCCGAAGTACAATAGATCTAGTAATGGTTCTATTTATTAACAAATGTGTTACTAAAGCTCTGCTTGAAACCGCTGCTGTCACGTGGTAGCTGTTACTTTTCTCAGCGCTTGTCAAGGAGGACTGATCGCAGTCGTTGTAATTACTACATAAGATTTTTTTGGTAGACATTTCAGTCAGGGTAGGATTTTGCATGTCAGGTATTAATCCTTGGCATTTATACGAATGCCTGTGTGACACAAAAATGTTCGGAGGTTTTTGAATGGAGGACTAGTAATTGTTCTGACCCATCCAGCGCCCTCTAGAGGAAGAATAATACAATTTCGCTCAATCCAACGTGTGTAAGCACATCTTCTCATTTATGTTGCTCATACATCCCTGTTGAAAAAAAACAGCATATGCTGGTTCGGTATGTTTTGACGCTGGGATGCTGGTTTAAGCTGGTCCTTTGCTGGTTTAAGCTGGCCCTTTGCTGGCAAAGAACCAGCAAAAGCACCAGCTTAAACCAGCAAACGACCAGCTTAAACCAGCAAAGGACCAGCATAAACCAGCAAAGGACCGGCTTAAACCAGCAAAGGGCCGGCTTAAACCAGCAAAGGGCCGGCTTAAACCAGCAAAGGGCCGGCTTAAACCAGCAAAGGGCCGGCTTAAACCAGCAAAGGGCCGGCTTAAACCAGCAAAGGACCAACTTCCAGAAGAATGAACAGAATAACTCAACACGGCTGTCTTTTACTAAAATTTGTTTCTTTTCCTAATGATATTTATCTTTTTATTATATTAATAATGTATTATTAGTGCACTAAGTTATGTTGCATTGAACTAATGGTTTTGAAATATAAATACATCAAATAGGGATGTTTGAGTATGAACACTATTATGTGAACTGTATGAATGGGATCACAGAGACATTTATACTCCGCTAAATTCAAGCTGCATCAGAATGTATTAATTTTACCGTTAGAATATATTGATTGATTCAACTAGAGTACTTTCAAGCCGATGTACACACAGGTGTACATCAAACACAAATGATGTGAGAATGGGGCTAGATGTCACAGCTACTCTGTGTGTGTAAGTGAATATTTCTTTGGTTAGACTTATTTTATTTATTTTTAAGTCTTTAAGTCTTTTAGGGTCAACACACTGACCCTAAAGTGGGGCATGTTGTCAGAATTAAAACCTTTATTGACATGATTTGATTTGGTTTAAAAGTTTAGCAACAGTACAACAATTTTGAAATATATATATGTACAAAAATGTAAAACTGAAAATGTCAAAAAAAAAAAAAAAAAAACTTTAAATGAATTTTACACTTTGGGTTCGGGAAGATTTTAATGTTATGCCTGTTAATGCTCGGCTGCATTTCTTAAAACAAATAAAAACAGTAAAAACAACTGTTTACCATGTGAATATATTTTAAAATGTAATTTATTCCTGTGATGCAAAGCTGTATTTTCAGCATCATGACTCCAGTCTTCAGTGTCACACGATCCTTCAGAAATAATTCTGATATGCTGATTTGCTGCTCAAGAAACATTTCTGATTATTATATCAGTGTGAATTTTATTTATTTGTTTTTTTTGTTTAGTGAAATCTTTTTCAAGATGAATAAAAATTTTAAAAGAATAGTATTTACTTAAAATAGAAGTGGTTTACAGCAACTATGATAATATCCTTTTCTCTAAAGGGTTACAGTGGTGGATTAAAAGTGATTGAGAAATTTCAACAATTATCTTTGTACTGCTGCTGCAGTTCTTAGTGTTGAGAAAAGGAAAAGCTGAAAAGAATAAAGAAAAAAACATAAAAATGAACTCGAACTAATCATACAAGATGTTTAACACTAAACAAGTCCACAGTCAGACGACAGACAGATAGATAGATAGATAGATAGATAGATAGACAGACACATGACAGACGACAGATAGACAGACAGACAGATGACAGACGACAGATAGATAGATAGATAGATATACAAGACAGATAGACAGACAGATGACAGACGACAGATAGATAGATAGACAGACAGACAGACAGACAGACAGACAGACAGATGACAGACGATAGATAGACAAGACAGATAGACAGACAGATAGATAGACAGACAGATAGACAGATGACAGACGACAGATAAGATAGATAGACAGACAGATGACAGACGATAGATAGACAAGACAGATAGACAGACAGACAGACAGACAGACAGAGACAGATGACAGACGACAGATAGATAGATAGATAGAAAGATAGACAGACAGACAGACAGATGACAGACGACAGATAGATAGATAGATAGAAAGATAGACAGACAGACAGACAGATGACAGACGACAGATAGATAGATAGATAGAAAGATAGACAGACAGACAGACAGATGACAGACGACAGATAGATAGATAGA